TCATATTAGAATAATGTAATTATTTAAAAATGTTTATTAGTTCAATTATACAAGAAATTATCATTAGTTGAAATAGATAAATTTCTTAAAATCTTTTTATTACAATGAGTTTTTAAAGCTTGAAATTCTGTCATTTTTATTACTGATTCTTCACTAAGATGTCATACAAATTATTACTATCCATTGTAAAAAGTTATCTATTAATTTAATAAATATTTTATACACTCTATGGTCACTGTCGAATATCATGCAATTAAATTCAAATTTATATGTTTAACTTCAAACATTAAACACAAGTATTAAATGATTTTCATTTGTAGTGTTATGGACAAACTTGAGAGAATGATGCTAACGTATATAATACACCAGACATAACGATAGAAATGTATCTTTATATTAAATATTTAATAATTTTATAAGATTGACGAGTTTATAAAATCATTCTTAAATGCGATCATGTACAAGAAGATAAATTAAAGACAACATATCACATTTGTTAGGTTAAAACAACAAAAATATTTCGTGGGTAAGTAATTTTTCTTTATAAAAATATATACACATTGCACCAATTAATATTTAAACAAATTTTCAAATATACAAAATTTATAGTAATCAAATAATTACACATAACCATAAGGCTATATTGTATGAAAACTTATGAACTTTTATCAATTGTGTTTATATAGTTTGCAATAATCATTATCCATTAATAAGTTACTGAAAATATGGAGAATCAAATTCATTCAGAATTAATCATGAAAGAAGAAAAGGTAGAAGAAGGGGAACAAGAATTAAGCAATAGTATTACAACGACAACTATTACTAATATAACAACTGCTACTGCTATTGTTACTGAAAGTAAAAGTGGTACATGTGATGGAGGAGAATCAGCAATTGGTATTAGACCAAGACCATTAATTTGTAAACCGGAAACTGTAAATATTGGATGTAAATCTGAACCTATAGAAAATAAATGGCATTGGGCTCCAGGAGCATGGCAAGATGCTACTAGAACTAGTGCTTTTCAACCATATAAGGTACTTCTTATACAATATTTGAATTTATTGGATATATATTCACTGAATATCATTTTAGCCTCCTACTTTACTTACTAATTTACAAAGAGGTAATACACAGACAGAAATACCTCAGCTTTACAGTAATAGCGATATTACATTTCATACATTAGCTGGACAAGGAGAGCTTGCTCCTGAACAAATACATCCAAGTATAGTAATTTAAAATAAAAACAAATATGCTTTGTACTTAAATAATTTATAAATTCATCAATAAATTATCTTGAAGATACTGTGGATTCACCTGATGAAAAAGGTTTAACTGGTCTCATGTGGGCTGCGGGATATGGACAACTAGGTAGCGCAAGACAATTACTAAAAGCTGGTGCTAATAAAAACTATCGTGGCCTTAATGGAGAAACACCCTTGCATTTAGCAGCTGCGTATGGACATCACGATCTTGTAAAATTGTTGCTAAATCACGGTGCAGACTCAAATGCAAGCGATGAGGTATAAATTAATACAATTTTTATTGATTGAAATATTTTAAAGTAGTATTAATTAGTTTAATGTAGGAAGGAAATACACCACTGATGTATGGCGCACATGGTGATCATCCACATGTATGTTATGAATTACTGTCAAGAGGAGCTGATGTTGCAAAACGTAATATACACAACATTAGCGCTTATCATGCAGCAGTATTAAATAATTCATTGACTGGTAAGATAAATATTATTCATGAAATATTATAATAATTATTATACAAAAGAACACTATATATATATATATATATACATATATATATATATATCTTTCAGCTAAAGCTGTTATTGAAAATTA